AAGATGGAGACAAAACCAGTTAGAGAGGACTTTGACCTTTGGCATTTCCTCAGTCTACTCAGGCTTATTTTGCGTGTGGTACATCTACTTGAATGATCCAAACCTTTCCTCACTTATACTAATATAAATACGAAGAAACAGCCTTATGAGCATCTGCAGTTTTCACGGACCTGAACTAGAACTCTGGGGACACAGCACTTCAGGCCAGAAAGCCAATGGAACCAGTGGACTTTTTCCAGATTTAATACCTGTATAAATGAGAGCCAAATTTGGTCTGTTGACTTCAGTAGATTTACTCCAAATCTACAGTGATGAAAATGAAAGCAGAATCTGGTTACTGGTCTCCAGTTATCATAAGGGTGAGCCTTGGTTTTCGCCCACTTGCATATTAAATGTGGAGATAAATGAATGTGTAATGGTAATTTGCAGCCTGCAGATTGTATTAATGTTGCTGAAAACACTGTTGCTGTTTATGATGGGAAAAATTAGAACCCAAAGGCCACAGAATCAAATATAATTGGTTAAAAATAAGGAGTAATATTGATTAAAATGAAAAACAGCATTCCAGCACTTTACCATAGAAAAGTATGTCCCCAGGTTCCTTGCATGTGCCCTATGATTATACAATAGATTTAAAATCTCTGATATCTACATCAAAATATATTCTACAGCTGTAGGAAACAGCTCTGAATTGTTAACCTTCTCTCCAGGTATTGGAGGTAACACACTGTGAGATTAGATGTATATTTTTTTCAAGATATGCCACCCATTGAGGAGTCCATATTTACATCTTTTGTTGATACTTTTTATAGATTAAAAGAGTCTCTTTACTGGGTGATAATTCTGTTAAGTACTATAATTTGCTGCCACTAATATATTTGTCTGAGTCCTAGTTTGAAAAATATATTTGAAACCACTTTATAAAGTCTCATAATTGCTTCTTTGTAGAGCTGGTATAATGAGTAGTTTCTTTATCCAGCCTTTATCCTGTTAACCTTAGAGGTGAGTGACTGCTTGCTGGAGTAGTTGGGGAATGTCTTAGCACTGTTGAGCCATTTAATTTCAGTACTAATTTCAGAGTGGTGACACAAAATTGGCTGAGAAAGCTTTCCGTTATTTCAAGGGTTTTCGGTTAACATTGAAGCAGGGCCTGATTCACTAAAAATAAAATGGAAATAGACATATCGATGATTTTTTAAAAAAATGCTGAAATTGATCCACCTGTATGTGCCCAATCTACATTAAAATTTACCCTGCTGTTGGAGTTTTAGATGGGAACTATGTAATTATACTTTAGCGTATAAGAGAGGTTTGGCATCATAAATGAGAACTTCAGCTATGACAGTGCTGCTTAGCTCTGCCTGCTCCATTTAATGCCAGCATTTTCCTTCTTGCTCAATGGAGTCATGATGCTGACGGGAGAGAGATCGCCCTTCTGCACAGTGTGAATTCACCAGACGTATTACAGGTGCAGCTCCATTATATTGCAGGTAGCGCTGTAGCATGGACTTGCCCCATGAGAGATCGCTAGTGCAAGGAAGAAATGCAAATTGTTCTGTCAAGTTTCATCCCTATTCCATTTAGAAACTTCTTAAACAGTGTATCTTGAAAAGCAGAGTATACATATCTTCCATTTACTGCTCCATCCTATTCAGTCTCAAATTCAAGCTCCTGACTGTCCAGCATATTATCCAAAAAAATTTCCTATCCCTCTAAAAATATGGTCTTATTCTTCTAAATTTCAATTTTAAAATCTGAATGAGTGAGAGATCCAGGATGAGAGATGCATTAGCAGAACTGATTTCTCTTGTTACTAGTTCAAAAGGCTTCAGTATGCGGCACAAATGATTCATAAGTATCCATTGTTCAGAGTTCAGGATAAAGACTTCAGCATCAAAGCTCTGCTTTAATGTGTGCTCATGTATTTCTTTTTTCAGTATGAGCATTCATTTAGATATATATATATATATATATATATAAAATCACATGAAATTCAAACTTGTTTAAGCTGCAGTTCTGGTAAATTGCTCAGTTTCTCAAGTTAGTTTAGAAT